TGGCATCTTTTTCGTGATTTCTTCCGCTGTGCATTGGCGACTGCTAGCTTAATAATTTCGAGCCCCTACTAAATTTAGTTCCGGCTGCGCCCATGGCCCGAAATGTATGTGTACGTTCATTAATGCAAACATTTTATAGTTTATTACTTACATCATTCAAACAATTACAGATATTTGGAGTAGGAGCTTTTGGTGGAAACACCCATTTAGTGTTGATTGGATTAATGTCTGAGGGCATAATAACGTTCGCCATTTGAATTCCGCTGGTTCTTACAAAAGAAACGCGCTTGTGCTCGACAAACATGTTTTTCTCGAGGCTAAAACCACGCGCAATATTGTCATTAGATGAGACATCCCATGTATTTGGGATCTGTCCATGTTGACAGGTGCAGTTGTAGTTAGCTAGAGTTCGATCGAAGTTCATGTCCAGTCTGGCTGCCTTTTCTTGTATGATTGGTGAAGGCGTATCATCACGTTTACGTAATTTATTGCGAACGCAGCGCATTGTCATAAAATTTTCAGTACCACCAAACATTTTGCAACACAAGCACAATTATACCAGCATGGGGTCATACAGAAAGAGTACTGTATTTAATGCGCAGGCATACAAATGTACATATGTGCGTATGTGCACTAGTATCTTTTTATTACGAGCTAATTTAAGCGTCGCACATGACTAGAAAATTTATCGATTTTCTACCACTGTATACATAAAAACACTAACATGCGTATGTATAGACACGTAAATATTATTACTTAGTTTGACGAGAAGAGCCAGCGTTAACTATAGGCCACGAGGTAGTACATTGTATTAGTGATAAAATGTCATTTTATGTTCAGGAATGCTATTTATTTGTTTAATTAAGTAGCCACAAACGATTATTTAGTGTTCATTCGTAATAAACTTTAAGTATACATACACATAGTATACATACATATATATCTACTTGGTTATTTCACTTTAACGATTCGACGTCACACACTTAACCGACGAAATGCAAACCTAACGCCGTTCTTATGCCATATCACTTCAATTACTAGCCATGGCAAAATATGTACATAAAAGCATATGTGAAGCCATTTACGCTGTGAACAACCTTTCCCTTTCTTTTAAATGTATTTCGTATACCGAAGATCACCAATGGTATTATGCTAGGTAGTATGAATTGAGAGCAGTAGTGAAAGCAGGACAGATCCATTACGGTGTATACATCCAACGTGTATATACATACATACATACGTATGTATGGTTGTAGCCCAGTCAGACGTGGCATTAGTTGTGTTTTCGTATTCTCCAGCAAAAAGTATCCAGTAACTTGCCAGTAACCAAATTTCGGAG